CTCAGAAATAAATATTAGATACTATTACCCTGATCTGTGTTAGGTATTGTAGAAGTATCATGGAAAGGAATACAAAGATGGGGAAAATGTAATTCCCATGCTTAAGATGTTTACTTGCATTTTGGATGTGCCTTTACAAAAAGTTTCAGCCTCACGGAGCTTTGATGTTGTGGAAATCTGAACATATGCAGGGAAGCTGGGGGTGCTTATCCATGCAGAGGTTTTTGTTTGTTTGTTTGTTTAATTTATCAATAAGCAGATAGATAAGAGTCTGTTCCATATTTGCACACTAGAAATTTCAAAGTCTCTAAGTACAAAAAGCTGGGTTTCACTCTAAAAACTAGAATTAGTATTACTTAGTTATGAAATTTTATTTTAACCATCTAAGTTATATTTTGATAATGGTTACAAAACAAGTAAATATAAAAGTTTTATGTTTTAGTCTTTGCTGTTAGTGCCTTATGTATATTATCTCACTGAATTCTCAAACATAACCCTTTATGCTACAAGCCCATAAGCCATTATCTGAAACCCCTGAGGCCAGATATGTTTCAGAATTCTTAGTGTTTCAGATTTTTAGAAAGCCAATTTAGGGTATATACTATAACTTCCAGACAAGTATTAGTATTCTGGTAATGAAACATAGATATTTACATTAAATGGAATAAATAGGGACTCACATCAATTTAGATCATATTGTCCAACAAATTGTTCGTGAGATTAGGTTTTGACATCAAAGAGATTACGGATATATTTAGTTTTCTAAGAGTTCTGAAATGTGGAATTGTAGATAATTCTGTCAGCTTGTATGTATTATCCATATTTGTACGGCTGTTATTGGTGGAATTTGTATTCATACACAGGTTTGTCTGGTTCTAAGTCTCATTTTCTTTCCATCGTTTCCACATAAAAGGGCTAGTCTTGATTAGGAGCTTGCCTTCAATGTCATTTATCTTATGCTGTGATGGTCTTTATGACTGTTCTTTGAACCCTCATTTTATTTCTTGTTTACTGCCATATTCTCTGACTTACAGAATGGTGGGTGCTCAGTGCATATTTGTTGAATGAATGACTCAACCCGTAGATACTCTGAAAACTCTGTTTTTCACAGCTCCTCACTTGTCATGGTGTTTTCTAGCATGGTAAGGTGAAAGGCATGACAAGAAGCATCATTAGTTTCTATAAATTGCTTTATATCTGTTTTCATGATATAGTACAGCTGGTCAAAATAGGTTCACATGAAAACTATATCATTGTTGTGTGTGGTAGGAAGGATCATCTGTGGGGCCAGCAGTGTATGATGTATTTATGTGGATATATGGACTTTGACTGGAACTTCATTTCCTTGCTAGATTTATTACAAAAACATTTTTCTTTGTTTCCTTTTCTATATTTGTTAGAATAGTGCTCCCTACTTTTGTTTTGTAAGAAGACCATCCTTGTAGGAATTGGGAGAATTGGGTCTCATTCCAGTGTTGCTGGTATTACCTGGGTTATATTGGGAAGTCACAGTTTGATTTAGATTGGGGTCTTGATATCACGAAATCAAAAGTTTATTTATTTAGAAGTGTGAAAGTTGAGCTAAGTAAAATTTCAAGGTAGCAAAGTTTCCGTTGGCACTTAATTGTCTACTTTTTTGAGCATTTAGCCTAGTTTCTAGGCTTCCTTCTTGTTCAGGGAAGCACTGCCAACAGGTATAACAATGACGCCCTAACAGGTATAACAACAACTCCCCATCTTTGGCACCTACCTTCTCTGTACAGCTGCATTGTCCAGAATTAGTGCTCCTTCCACTGTGGATTCCTGTTCCCTTAGCTCTGTGGCTGTCAGGTACCAGGAAAAAAATCAGTCTGGAAATTTCAGGTGTAGGGAGGAGATTTGGAGTAGTCTTCCCATACTTTTCACTGAAGATTTCTCCTCCGTATACAAGTTTAAATAAATCTCAGAGAACCGCTTTGCCTTCCCAGATTTCCCTGACTTGCCTTTTATCCCTTTCTCCTTAGCTTATTCCATAAAAGTCCTGCCTACTCTGGTCCTACAACCCTTTAACTTTTCCTGAAGCCCACCACTGCTCTATGATTGTTTTCTTGGAGGTTGGGATTTAATAGATCCCTCCTCTGTACTTCTGCCTCTGATGAGGTTCTGTCCTCCTTTTGAGCCAGCCATGGCCCTTCTACCTCTGAACTCCCTTGCTCTGAATAGCACTCACTAAACCAGGAAATTGGGGGTGATGTGACTTATTGTAAGAGAATACCCCTTTCTTTCTCAGTTTGATATTTGCTGTATTCTGATACCACTGTGCATCTCAAGTGTTTTTAAGATACATGGGCCCTGGGCGGGGATGAGAATATTGGACTACTTGCAGCTGAGGCAGCTGACATTGTAAAGGTATGTCAACAGGGCACTTTGAACGTCCTTCCGTAGCCAAAGAATTGAATAGGAGAGTCATAGGGTAAGCCTTAGCACAATGAACATGGCAGATAAATGGTCACTTCTAGCTGGCAAGATCTGGAGGTAGTCAAGATGGAACTAACAACCTGGACTGGACCTAGACAGCGTCACTAGAGAACTGACCCTAGATGAAGATTTGTAGACTGATTCACATTAAGGTTTTACTGATTATAATTCCCCACTTAGAGAATAAAGCCTTCTAACATTACATGTTTTACCTTTTGGTATGCTGTGCTCACAGAAAGTGTGGGCGCAGATAGCAGAGGAAGATGCATTCTGGGGCTATGGTCTCCAGAGCTGGACAAGAGCCCCAAGATAGTATGTAAAGGGATGTTTTAATTTAAAGTGAGACTGGGTATCTCAGGAAAGAAATCACTCCTAGGTTCCTGATTTTGTATGACTTAGGACAAAAGCAGCAAGATTTCATTTTGTCGTCATTCCCCTCCCTGAGCCACTATAATTAAACCCATTTGGAATTTGTTCTATATTTATTGTTTATCATTCATAACATATTTCCTAATGCAGCAAAACCACTGAATTACAACTTACATAACTTATTATTTATAAAATGTTTATAGCATTTATTAAATAGCACTGTATTTAATTCATCTGATTACTTTTAAATGTATACCATTGAACATTTTTTTTTATATTTTTATTGGGGAATTGGGGGGATGGGAACAGTGCTGGGGAATTGGGGGAAGGGGAACAGACAAGTTGCTGTCGTTTTGTTCTTCAGTCTCGTTGTGGAGGACGTTGCTTCACTGGCCCAAGTTGGCACCATCGTTGCTCTACTCCCGGGCGAGGCAGATCAGTCGCCGGCTTCTGGACGGCCGCTCACTGCGGCTGCTGGCTGCTCACGCTGGCTGCTGGCTGCTCACGCTGGCTGCTGGCTACACAGGGTAGCCCATGGCAACCCACTGCCACAGGGGCTGCAGCCTACACCGTCGCTGGCGACTCACGGCAGCCCAGCTCCAGGTTGAGCTGTTGTTCAGCATCTTAGCTGTGGAGGGCAGTGTCACTGGCCCTCATATGTGGGATCTGAACCGGGGCCCTCCGGCGTCCCAAGCCAATTCTTAACCATCGCACCACTCGGCCGGCCCTACTATTGAACATTTACACCACAGCCTAACTGTTGCTTTGCAGTTCAAAAGTTTTGTTAAAGGAATTTGAAATTATATACTAAGAAAAACATAATCATTGGATAAGAGAGTATAGATATCTAGACTGTAAAGGAAAGGCTGGAATCTTGTTTAATACATACTCTTTATATGCTAACATGTTTCACCAGCCAGAAGGGATTATTTTGTAGCAATAAGAATTCATTGTTTTTGCTGCCATGGTTGTCCCAGGACTACCAGTAAGTATCTTCCTGTTATTCTGAAATCCCCAGGCGATGTCTGATATGAGCTCATAAACATTACTCTCATTTTCCTCTAGATTTCTCACCCACTCCCTTTGGTAGCCACTCCCCGGGATGCCACTTGAGGGCAGGGTCCCCTTACCAATGCTGCTAGTTCCCAGCAAACTGATACCTGTGCCAAGGGTCTCCTGGAACATCTAAGCATGAACTTTTAAACTGCCAGAGTGGTGGTGCCGTATTCTTAGAGGAAATGTTCTTGGAAGAATGCTTACTCTCTAACCAGAAAACTATGCTTGTACTTTATATCTCACAGACTCACGAAGAGCTACTCCATGAGCTTCTTCTTGCCAGCTACCTTTCTCAATAGAGCCAAATAGGAATATATGGAAATAGTGGCATTGGGAACTAATGTCTGATGCATATCTTTCCCTATAGTGATTTTCTTCTGATGCCTGGCAAAATCTCTTTTCCCTTTCTGTTCAAGACTAAAAACCAACCAAACAAACCTCATGCAAGACTACCCACCACTTCATGAGACATGCACAGAAATTTCTGAATCCCACCTTCGGTTCATTGTAGGACCCTGAGTACATTTATTTAAAGATACTAATAGTGATCATTATCAATAGATTGCAGGGATTTCCATGAAAAGCAGTTCTGTCGTGCTGCTCCACTCATACCCGCTCACCTTGCCCTCCAATCAACAGATCCTAGAAGCTAGCCAGGCTGTGACCATGGAGCAAAACAAAGCCCAGGAAGCGTGGGGTTGACCAGACTTTTACACCCTACCCCTCTGTTGTGTCTTATCTGATTATGGCTATATCTTATATGAAAAGGATAACTGTATAACTAGCATTTACTTTTGAGAGTGAAAAGCAACACCATTAATATTTGTCAGGACAATTAGAATACTGTATTACTATCCTAAATATGAATGAGTTGTAATATCAGTAAATTTTAAAAACCTTATTTTTACCATGTTTGCCTTGTTATTTCTAAAATCACGTGTTTTGATTATCACGATTTTTATATCTTTTTAAAAATCTTCATTTCTTGCCTACAGGTTTTTCTTAGAACAGTTGTTACATGGATTTATCCTGTCTATTAATTCATTTCTAATCATAATGTGATTTTTTTTTCTTGTTCCCACCAACTAGAAATGTTCTTATTTTTATTTTCGATGCAGATGCAGAGTTTGCAGGGTGGTACAGAAGCCATAGCCCGATTGGATCAGTTAGAAGCTGATTATTATGATCTGCAACTTCAGTTGTATGAAGTACAGTTTGAAATCTTGAAGTGTGAAGAGTTACTATTGACAGCACAACTGGAAAGCATCAAAAGACTTATATCAGGTATGGTATACATTTAACCACATAAGTCCACAAAAAGATTGAATACATCACCAGAGGTAATGGCTCTGCCTCAGGTTACAGAGCCAGTAAGTGGATTAGAACCCTGTTTGTGTCTGCAGCCCATGCTTTTAACCACTACCCCTTATTGCTGTTCTGTAACAGAAAAGAGAGATGAAGTGGTGTACTATGACACTTTTGAAAGCATGGAGGCCATGCTGGAGAAGGAAGAGTTGGCAGCATCAGTGCATTTACAGAGAGAAGAGTTACAGAAACTTCAGCAGAAAGCACGCCAGCTAGAAGCAAGACGTGGACGGGTTTCAGCCAAGAAAGCCTACCTCAGAAATAAAAAGGTATGATAGGTTAAGTATTTATTGAATATATAAACTTGATTTTAAATCTTTTGTTTATTCCTTGATCCATAGCTAATAATTCCAGCTCAGTTTGTCACTAACATTTGCATATTTTTTTAAATGAAGTAAGTTATTATGGGGTGCTTCAGATTTTTCTGGAGTTACTGGGTAATATATGGTATATGTAACATAGCACCTCTCTAAAATCTGAAAAAAAAATTTAATTTCAAAAACACATCTGATCTCAGTTTTGGATAAAGGATTGTGGACCTGTATCCTCATTTTATAACCAAGGGAACCAAGGTGTCTAGTAGTTAAATAAATGACCCAAGGAAAAGTGGTTAGTACAGGGCAAAGGTAGGATTCTATCCTAGGGCTAGGTCTGTGTGACTTAGAAGCCTGAGGCATTATATCACTATATATGTCACTACATACTGCCTTTGTCGTC